ACACGAGAGCCTCCTCTGAGCTGGGGCCGCCTGGAGGAGCTTTGGGTCTCACTTTTGAAGCGGCCCGTGTTCACACTCCTAGTACACACTCCCAGAGGTACCTATGTAGGTGGCACGTGTTCAATGACTATCCATTTTCAGCTATTGTCCTGAAGTGGATATTTCTGGCATGGTTCCATCAATATGGAACAGGATGAAAGGTAGTTAATGTTGAAGGCCCTCTAGCTCCGAGACACTTGAAAGGCAGAGCAGTGTGGTGGAGACTAATGGATTTCGAGGTGGAGGTCCTGGGTTCAAATCCTAACTCTGATACCAACCCTTAGAGCGACTGACTTTGGGCAAGTAACTTTACTATTCTAGGGTTCAGTTTCTGTGAGAAGTTGCACTAGATGGTCCTAGGGGCTGGGCCTACAGCTGGAAAGACCTTCATCTAGCACTTCCTAGCTGTGTGACCCTGGTCAAGTCACTCTCTTTGCCTCAGTTTCCTTAATTGTAAAATGAGGATAATAGTGCTTACCTCCTGGGGTTGTTGTAAGGATCAAATAAGATGATACTTGTGAAGTACTTAGCATGATGCCCAGTACGTAGCTGGTGCTTAATAAATCAATCCCTTCTTCCTCCCTTTCTTCTCCCCTTTTCCTTCCTTTATTTCTCTCTCCCTCCCTCCTCTGAAGTGTCTTCCAATTCTAAATATATGTCTATGATCCTATAGTAGTGCTTTTATACAAATATATATAACATACATAATATAAATATATATCTATATAGTACTTTAGGGTTTGCAAAATGCTTTACAAATATTATATCATTTCGTCCCTGCAATAACCCAAGGAAGGAGGTGCTACTATTAACAGGGAGGAAACTGAAGCTGAAAGAAGTTAGAAGTGACTTGTCCAGGGTCTCATGGCTGGTAAGTGTCTCAGGCCAGAATGGAACTAAGGTCTCCCTAACTCTAGGGCTACTGCTCTATCCACTGTGCTCCCTAACTGCCTTTACAGCTGTAGATTCAGATTTAGGCTAAAAGAGTCTGATAAATTACTAGTCACAGTGCTGGGCTTTCTCTTTTATCAGCATAACATGCTTCTGTGCTTACTACAGGACTTGGCATACAGAAGGTGCTTAATATATGATTACAGACTGAATGACTTTCCTACTCACACTGGTTCTAGCCCATGATCCATGCTTCTCTACTGCATATTCAAATGGGTAGGATCCACACTGTGACCCATCCAAAATCCTAGGGATCACTGGATTACCTTAGTCTTGACCTAATATCAATGGGCTTGCAAAGACAATATTTGGCTTATACACTCTGCCTAAGTCTGTGACCCCTCCTCCCTTCCTAGACATCTCTATTTTCTCTTATGGCCACCATATCACAAGAAAAACAACATCTAAGCACTGGCCCATGGCAAACACTTTCCTAATTGGTATTTTTTTAATGGAATAAAAGCAAACTTAGAACAGAAAGACAGAATATATTTAACAGAGCTGAGGAAAACTTTTTTTTTTTAAACCACAGGCACATTTAAAAAACTGTGCTTCCTCTGACTCATTTTGAAAACGATGTCCTCTCTGTGTGTTACTGTATAGCAAAAGCTTCGGGCCTTCCCATTAACATATATGACATCACAAGAATGAATTCCAACATGTGGCACTTTCTGACATTAAAACTACGCGTCACCTCTTAAGCTTCTATTACCTGCCCCCTTGGCCTCTCCGTAACCTACATACCTGTCCTACTCCCATGATCCAGAACAATCGAATTCCTCTTCTGGGTCATGACTTCCTATCTATTCTTCTGCCTCTCCCTCTGCTTCACTCCCCCTTAAACCTTTTCTTTATCCTCACTGCGACTTCTGGTCATCTAACCCTAATTGTTCATTATCTTTGATCTGGGTTCATTTTCTTCTCTTTTAACTGTTAAATGCCAAAGTGAGGAATTTGTAGTCTTGACCTCAGAGTTAATTAACTATACATGGTCCTTTTACCCTCAAATCCTCTGACCCTTTGTTCTATTGCCACTCATGCCCTGCAAAATGATAGGCCTGGGTTACTCCCACCATCAATGCCTTCTACTCATATCTTACTAAAAGCAAATGGAGAAGCCACGCAACTGTGCTAACTGGACCCATTACAAATTTCTGCTCTCAAATTTCAGATGAATTCCTAGTGTTGCACAACCACCCTTTCATTCTCCCCTGATTGAGTCTCTCCTACACTCCTCACAATATCTGTCCCAATCTTTTCTTTAAGGATCTTATTCCACCTTTCCCTCCTCTCTGTTGCTACTGAGAGAATAGAAGTCATCCTGTGTACTTCCTCTTTTCCCCTATCCTATATGCCCAAATCCTACTTCATTACCCCTGCCACTATTCTTTCCTGCTTTATTCTAGACTGAGAGCAAGGGGTGGCTTTTCTTCTTGTCAAGGGTAACCCCTTTCCTTGTGCTTCTGGTCTCACCATTTCCCATCTCCTTCAGGAGCATGCACCTTTGATCATTCTTTCTACCCCTTCTCTCTTCAATTTATCCTTCCTGATTGTCTCTCTCCCTGCTGCTTTATAAGCATGTCCAGGTCTCCCCATGCAGTGGCTGAATAGGATCTTTAAAAATCCTTTACCTAAGTGTACCACCGCCTCCTTATCCTTTTATACCTCTCCTCCATTTCATAGCCAAAACTCCTAAAAACAGCCATCTACATTCATCTCCAATTCTTCATCTCCCTCTCACTTCTAAATCTCTTGCAATTTAGCATGACACTACATCTCAAATGAATCTAATCTTTTCTTTTAAAAAATTATTTTATGCCTTTGGTTTTTACTTTATATCCACTCCTTCCTTCCTTCTACTCCTTTCTCTCCTCATGTTTATTTCTGAGTATATTTTCCCTCGGTCTCTTACCCAGGAAATCATCCCTCGGGATCAAAGATTAAAAAAAAAGGCAAAAAAGCGGTTCAGAACGAAATTAAACAACATATTAACTATGTAGAGAAAAGTATATGCAATTAAAAAAACAAAGGAATAAGAGGGTCATTGAAGCATTTTTTTTTAAGAGAACAGAAGGAAGACCTGAAAGAGGCTTGAACTACATGAACTTATTATATACTTAAAAAGAAAAGCAAATTGTATTTAATAGTGATACTCTAAGTATTCTGTTCTACTATAGATGTGGACATGCACTTTTTTGGTGCTTAAGTTCAGGAAAAAAGTAAAATAAAAAAATTTTTTAAAAAATTTGAAAAGAGAGTCTATGTATGCTATATTCCAGATCCCAGGTTCCCCACCTCTGCAATGAAGGGAGGAAGACACATTTTCTCTACCCTTCTCCAGGGCCAGACTTGGTCATCATAATTACACTGTGTTCAATTTTAGTTTTGGTTATGTTCATTTACATTACTGCAGTCATGTCTATTTTTTCCTGGTTCTGTTTGTCACTACTCAACAGTTCATTTAGGCGCTTCTCTGAATTTTTCCTATTTCTTACAGCATTGCAGTATTGTCAGTCATTCCTCAACCAATGTTCTCCCAATTATTCAACATGGCAGCCTCGTCTCAGTCCTCATTCTTAACTTCTCTGCGGTTGAAGACACTGCTGATCACCCCCTCCTGAATATTCTCTCTTCCATCAGCTTTTGTGACATTGCTATGCTCTCTCTCTCTGCCTCCTCTCACCACCCCTATCACCTTTCAGATAGATGACAGCAATAGCCTTCTAATTGGTCTCCCTGCCTCTAAATCCTCCCATCTCCATTTTAACCTTCACATAACTGCTAAAATATCTCCCTTAAAAATGAGTCTGACCATGTGTCTTTCTTACTCAACTTCTATAGCTCCTTTTTGCTTCTCAGATAAAATATAATGCAGCTTGGTGTTTAAAATACTTTACAATCTGCTTTTCAGTCTACCTTCCTACACTTAGTTCACATCACTCCCCAAATGTGCCTATTTGTGGGACTTGCTCTCCAATCTCCTGCTGCCCTGACTTTGAATAAACTGTTGTCCCCCCTCCTCCAACCCTCATCCCTGGTGGGCATGCCTTTTCTACCTCTTCTCCTTAGAATCCTTATCTGCCTTCAAGTGTGACCTCCACAGGAAGTTATTCCTGACCTGCCTCCTCAAACCATCTCGTATTTATTTATCTGTTTACATGCTGTATCCCCAGCGGAACGTAAGCTCCTTAAAGACACCAATAGTTTCCTTTTGGTTTGTTTTTGTAACCCCAGCGCCCTTCACACAGTAATTACTTAATACATGTTTGGTGAATAGATAAAAGGCCTCAGTGCCTAATAAGGAAAGATTATAAACTGGTCACATGTCATATGAAGATTGGCTGGAGGACCTGGTTATGTTCAGTTGGGAGAAGAGAAGACTGAGGGAAGGTACAGCAGCTGTCTTAAACACCATGAGGAAGGGGGATCTCAGCTGCTCGGTTTGGCCCCAAAGGGTAGAAAAAGTTGAATATCACCCAATTTTGACTTCCTCATATTTAGGGCTGCATAAAAGTAGAATGAGTCACCTCAATCCCAGGTGGTGGGCTTCCCCCGGATGGAAATCTTTAGGAAGAGTCTGGACAACCGCGTGCTAAGGATGCCATACTGGGGATTCCTTTCATTTATGGGCTGGACTAGACAGCTGATTCTAGAAATGGAATCCCTTCCAATTGTCAAATTCTGTGACTCTGATGACAGCTGCCAGAGTAGGTGGAACGGGACACCCAATTACATCTTAGAGGCAGAAACAAGTTAATAATCTTAAGTTCACCAATGCAGAGCTGGAAGGGGCTTCCAAGGCCATCTAGCTCAACCCTATTACTTTACAGATGACGACTGAAGGCTCAGGGAGGAAGAGTCCCTTTCCAGAATGGAAACACTGGTCTTCTTACTAAATCCTGTGCTGTTCCCACTATAACACCAATGCTAAGCTTTCGACTGCCAATCAAGTCACCAGGAGACTCAGATCCCAATTTCAAGTAAAACAGTCATATAACAGTTGCTCTTACTTTCGACGAAACATTTCTGCAAATATGCAGCCAACACTCCATAGGTCCACTGGCGTGGCATAACTGGACTGAAGCAAGACTTCAGGTGCTCTGTACCATAAAGTGACAACCTGCAAAAGATAGAAAAACACATGAAGTAGAAAATAATCATTTCCTTCAGTGCCAATACCCCATTTTGGTTAATGCCAAGATCCAACGAAGAAAGAATTCCTATAAAATTCTTCACGGCACTACAACCAAAGCAGGAAGAGAAAGAGGAATTTTGCAGGGATGCAAACACATCAAGTGACTCACCAGAAACTTTACAGCTCTTAACACAGTTCCTGGCATGCAGCAGGCATTTAATGAATGCTGATTGACTGACTTTAGCCTCATCTCAGATCCTGGTGCTGACTCAGGACAGTAAAATGACAGAAGGAAATTTTGGAGAGAATGTCTCTCAAAAAAAGCAAGCTTTCTATCGACCTTAGGGACCCTTGTCTTAAAATCAGTACTTTTTCCTGAAGTCACTAGAAATGGCACCTAGAGAGCAGCAACTTGGCAAAGAAGAGATAGCTTTCAAAATTGGAAAGTGCAGGAGTTACAGGATCAAGACAGTTAGAAATGGGAGAGGGTTTACATGCTATCTAGTTGAACACTCTCATTTTACAGAAAAGTAAACTGAGGGACAGAGAGGTTAAAGGTCATGCAGGTAGTAAGTAACAGAGTCAAGATCTGAGCCCCAGTCCTCTGATTCTATACAGCCAGCATTACTCTGCTTGGGCATTGGGGATCTTTTAAAAGCTAAATTACAGGGGCTGAGTCAAAGTAAGCTTTCAGTGAGAGAACATGGTAAACTAAATAAAGCCACCTGACAAGGTAACAAACGTTCCAACTCCCTACAGAACAACAAATCCATTTTCTTAAGAAATATTAACACATATTTCAAAAATCACTTAGGACTAAATAGATGTGAGAGTGTTTTTAAAATTTAAAATTATGATTTTAAAATGACCAGCAATCATTCCTGGTTTGAGGGTAAGAAAAATAGACTAGCTCTAACTATTTTCATCTTTATCTAATTGAATTCAAGCATTTATTAAGTGCCTACTACAGGCAAAGGCACAAGGAAAAAACCATTTTAGCCCTCAAGGACTTACATTCTACTGGGGTATGTATACAGAGAAGTCAATACAAGATAATTTGAAGATGGAGGGGGATCAGAATAGGCTTCATGTAAGGGGTGGCACCTGAGCTAGGGATGCCAGGAGGAAGAAATGAATAAGGAATGGATTCTAGGTTTAGGGGAGAGCCTATGCAAAGGCAGGAAGGCAGAAGATGGAACTGAATTTGGGAAACATTAAGTAGTTGAATGTGTGAAGGACAATGTGAAATGTCTGGACAGGTGGTCTAGAGACAGACTGTGAGCCAGGGAGTGACATAGTCAAATCCTTGTTTTGGGAAGATTCTTTTGGTACTGGGACGGCTGCCATCTTTGGAGGAACTGCTGACTAATGTTGAATACAGCGGTGGTGGGGTACCGTTAGAGAGGTTAAATGGATGCTACTCAAAATGTGGAAATGCTTGTTGGAAGTGAGGTGAAGATGTCATGATGCTCAGAATGTCCAGAGGCCAAGAGGTAAAACTCAGGTGCTGATCATTCTGCTTTCAATTCACAGCATCTTAAACGGACCTCAGGAGCCACCTAGTACATCCTATAACAAGAAACTCCTCATAACATTTCAAGTATGGTTAACTAGCCTTTGCGTGAAGACCTCTAGTGAAGGGGAGCCCACTACCTCTGTAAATAGCCCATTTTACTTTTATACAGCTTTCATGTTTAAGAAGTTTTCTCTAACACTGAGTTGAAATCTGCCACTTTGCATCATTCACCCCTTATTTCCAGTTCTACCCTGAAGGACAAAGAACAAATCTAATCTTTCTCCTACATAAAAACCCTTTAAATACTTAGAAGTAGCCATCAGACACATCTCCCTAAGTTTTCTCTTTTCCAGGCTAATCACGTCCATCATCAAATGACATGACCTCAGTAACCTTTACTACCTTTGTCATTTTCCTCTGGACACACCATATAGTTTGATAATGTCCTAAGATGCGATGTCCACACACATGGACACAGTATTTCCAGATGTGGTCTAAACAGGGCTCAGTACAGTAGGATCATTACTTCCATTGATGGAGGCACCATACCTTTCTTAAATCAGCTTAAGATTGAACTAATTTTTAAAATTCAGTTTAATTTACTAAGTTCCATATCTGATGGCGTGTTAATGGAGACATGTATTATTAGAAAAGGTGATGCCGTTACATGGTGAGAATGAAAGATGCTGATAGAAAGCTCTTAGGCTCCATTTATCAATCTATACCACGTCAAGAGATAGAGAGGAGCTTTAGTACGTTCCAGGGAGGAATCTGACAAGAGTTACACAGGATGGCAGGGGGTGAATGGGTTATGACTAGCATCATGGGAGAGAGTATTTAGATTGATGACATCTAAGATGATAGGATCATAGATTTAAAGCCAGAAGGATCTTCAATCCAGTCCAATTCCCCTCATTTTACTGAGGCATAGAGAAGTTAGATAACTTGTCTCACATCATACCAACACAAAGTATCAGAGGCAAGACTTAAACCCAAGTCTTCCTGACTTTAGGACCTTATGGGATGAAAAGAAAAGTTCATATTCTAAAGTATTCTGAGTACGCAATCTTTTCACGGTCCCTATAATACACCCAAGGCAATAGCTACTTCCTCTTACAATGAGTTTTAAAAGGGCCTTCTTTTCTTGGCCATCAAGTCTTTAATCAGTGACGCTTGTTCCTGCTGCCAAAGCTGTCTTCTTAATTTTCCCGTAACCATTCAAAATAGCTCTTGACAAACAACAAAAGAAACAGGTCTTATTTATTAGACAGAATAAATAAGTTAAAATTGAACTTACAAAGTTTTAAAGTATCTTCAAAAGAACGCTCAAGTTTCTTTGGTAGTACTTAGCATAGTACCTGGCAAATAGTAGGCATTTAATAAAAAGTTATTGATTGATTGGTTGGGTCCTAAGTGATTTTTAAAATATGTATCTTAAGAAAATAGATTTGCTGGTTCCTAGTTTGGTTTGCGAAGCATGACCCCAGCTTGGAATGATACCTACCCACTCATCTTTTTTAATAACTTTAGTTTGGTTTTAGACTTAGTCTCCTGTTCCCCTTGACCTTGTCTGAAGTCTGGTGGGCATGGGGTTGGAGGATCCAGATGAGCTGGGACTAGAAAACTTCCTGTTAATGATCTCAAAGAAGCAAAAGAGAAAGTGAGATAGTTATTAGAGTAATGAGCAGGAAAGTCTAAGACAGAAGGTAGTTTCAAGGACTAGAAGGATAATTTAGCAACAAAATATTAACAAGATATAATGGACAGTCTGGAAGCAAAGTACAAGGTCAGTCTAAACACAAAGACAAAGACACACACACACACACACACACACACACACACACACACCAACACACACATGTCCAACAAGGTCTGAGCTTGATCAAGGAGAAGTCACCTATTAGGTCCTATACAACAAGTCACGTGCGCCTGTGTACTAACAAACACAAGCACAGCATGCTACTCTATCCCCTTCTTTCTCCTCCAAATGAGCTTCAACCTTGGACAGCTCCTGGCAGCCAGCAATAGTTCCCAAATGGGAAACAGCTGTGTCAGAGTGGTGATGGATAGTCCCTAGTATCTCATTTATGTTTCTTACCATTTTGCCTTCTAATGGGGGTATGCATGTGGGGCAAAATGATGAGCAAACTCATGAATCAGGGTCAGGCTAAAAGGTCTCTGAGGTCCCTTCTTGTCCTAAATCTATGACTCTAAGTTGTTTACATGTCACGATCAATTATCATCATATACTTGTGCTCAATTTCAAAAAATTCAGCATTGTTATCCAATTGGTCGAATATTTACCTGCAAGTTGAGCAAGCTGATCAACTATTCTGGAGATGCCTACACAATATGATGATTTTTTTTTTCAAAAGAATACAACTAAATTTAAAAGCACAATACTCTCAAGCCCACTGTTTCATGGAAGTGGAAAGTCCACAGATGTTGGACGCTGCATGTGTTTCATACTTTTTCAATGTATTGATCAGTGATGCTGATTTTTTTCCTCTTCTTTTTCATTTCCAAAAAATACTATTTGTTATTATAGGGGATGGTTTTCTGGGATAAGAAAGGGCAGGGATACTGGGGAAAATTATGATGGTGTAAAAAACAAAAAACATGAAAAAATTATAAAATTTTTAGAAGGCATGTGACATGAAGCAATGAATGCTGTGTATAATTTGATTTAACAAACATTTATAGTGTTCCCACAGGCCAATATTTGCAATATAAGCTAGATGGCTACTAAAAGGGTATGTTATAGTGGGGATTGCTTTTCATGTGTGAGTTGGATGGGATGGACATTAAGGTCACAGCCAACTCTCAAACATTGTGATTCCGTGCTTTAGAAACTCATGGCAAGAGTTATTTTTAATGATAACAATGCAGCTTTCTTTTAAGTTGGCAGGTAAAGTAAAAAGTTATGGATTATATTGTTAAAGGGCTTGTTTATGACGGAAAAAATGATGATCACCAAAGACCAGTACTGGACCATCCAGAAGAGGTCATGCCAGATTCATTTCCTTTTTTTTTTGCAGGGTAACTACAGTAGATATGGTATATAACTGAATTTCAGGAAAACATTTAACAACTCTCTCATCACATTCTTTTTAAAAAAATTAAATTCTTCTCTCCCTCCCTCAAACTATTGAGAAGACAAGAAATAAGACATTCATTATACATTCTCATGTTATTCTTGTGAACAGGATGGAGAAATGTCAGTTAGATGAGACCACAGTTGGGTGTGTTCAGTAATGACTAAAACTAAAGAGGCCCAAGGAATAGTGATTAATTAACCGATATCAACCTAGAGAAAGGTCACAGAACCCTAGATTAAGAGCTAAAAGAGATCTTTGGGGCAATCATATTTGATCTTCTTATTTTATTGACGCAGAACTGAGGACAGAGAGAGATTAAGTTTGTTGTCCAAGCTCATTGGAGTAGTAAGGGCCAGAACCAAGATCTGAAC